TGCATTACAAAAAAGAAGCCCATATAATATAAATATGTCAGTGTATATGTAGAGATGAAACTACTGAAATATTACTGTAATTTATACAGACTAAATTATAAAGTATAAATAAGTTTATAAAGTAGAATATATCCCACTATCATATTTCTTTTCCCAAAGGCTAATAAACAGCCCCAAAGCTCTTATTCTGCCTTTTCCTGATTCTTATCTTTTACTTAGACCTTCAACCAGCGAGCTGCAAGATTCCACCTCCTTTCGTCTTTCACTTCAGTTCTATATCCCTTGCTCACTTTTCACAGCTGGCCATGGCAAGTTAAATCCTACAAAACTGTCACACCTGTATGGACTGCTTAAAGCAAAACACTAGTATATATTATTATTCATGAGATACCCACGGTGAACAAAGGAAAACAGTACAACTGACTTGTGAATGGGAAAAAATCACACATACAATTGGTTAGTTTCTGTCTTTTCCAAGACAGGTGCTCTTATGCCTTTTACAGTGAGTAGCAGAAATTCAAGGCGCACCAATTCCGGGTGGGGGGGGCAGTGATGGATCCAGCCATTCCGTTTCCCTGAAGCATACCTGTTAAAGATGCAACAGCCCTACCAGAAAAAAAGGAACTTGAACAGAATGGAGTCCTAGAATGTCCTTCTTCAGTGATGTTTTTATTGCTCCCCCTTTATTGCTACTGCTTGTTTAAGATTAGCCTTCTACTTAAAAAGGGAAAATTTTTCCTGGCAGGGAGATAGATCGTTAAAAAAAATACACATGATCCTAGACATGCTTCTTAAGTAATCAGTCCTGATGGTGTCATGGCCACTTCCTGTCAATGTATTTTGAATTTCAGCCATGCATCCATTGCATGTTTACTCGGAAGCAATTCCATGGAACTGAGCTCTGTTGAAGTCCATGTGACTTCTGAGTAAAATGCTTAGGATTGGGCTGTACAGTTTGTGTGCTGGACAGCTGTGTGGGTAATACACCATTCAAACCTGTACATAACTGTATGTTACTCAAGTCCCACTGTATTCAGTGATACTGTGAAGTATGCACAGCTTGGCTCACTGTGAACCTACCCATTTATTAAGATCTGTAGGAAAGGCCCTTTTAAGGGCATCACTAGTTTTAGAGGCCCATTTGCTGGATACATGTGAAAAGGCTTCTCCTGGTTGCCCCCAAACTGTGGGATGCTCACTCTCAAGGATGGCAATTTGACCCCACTCGCCTGACCTTTACGTAGGATGTCAAGACACATTTTTCCAATGCAGCCTTTTAAAATATGTACTTTCCCCTCTTTTTGCTGTTCTTGGTTTAAAAAGTTCAACTCTATCCTGATGGCTTTTTAACAGAACTAGGTAAGTCTCCAGGATATAAATGCAGTGTAGTAATATTTAAATAACGAGATTGTAGTCTTACAACATTGGTGAGTGGGCTGCACTGTGGCCACAATCCTGAAGATACTGCAGGCTATCAAGCCCATGTGTGTCTCCTAAGAAGTAGGACTCATTGAATTCAGTTGGGTTTACTCTTGGAAGGGAGTCAAGGCCAGTAATCTGCCGCTGGAGACAGAACAGCTAACCAGCCCTCCCACAGATAAAGTGTGCAACACCCTAGACTTGCTAAGGGTGCAGCCCTCTGGCCTTCTGCCATTTTCAGCGGAAGGGGAATAGGATTATTCAGGGCCCCAGCTCCAAGGCCCTGCATCCCTGGAGGTGGGAGTCTGACGGCCAAGCCCCCCACCCCACCTGCTCGCAGCCAGTGCAGAGAAATGTGCTGCTGCTTCTCCAGGGTAAAGATTGGGCCTTAAAGACAGAAAATGGGTGTACTGGGCAGAGGAAGCTGGGGCCAGCAGCTTACCTCAATTCCTGTCAGTACTCCAGCCTCCTTCCTTCCCCAGTGCTTTTAGACCAGCACCACTGTGCCTTGCTCCCTCACTGGGTACACAAAAGCCTCCAAGTTCTGAGTTTATGTGCATCTGACTCAAAGGATAGGAGTTGTGCCCCAAGTTATTTTGGCCGACGTTCAGATAAATGCACCAGGAGAACCTCTGCTTTGCATTCAGAAGGTCCCAGGTTTGATCCCCAGCATCTCCTGGAAGGACTGGGAAAATGCCTGCTGGGAACCCTGGAGTGCTGCTGCCAGTCAGTGTTGACAATGCTGGGCTAGGTGAACTAATGGACTGACTCCGCAAGGCAGCTTCATATGTTCCTGCACAGTGATCCATTTAAAGTAACATTTTGCTGACCTTCCATGATACTCAAGCCAGCTATCTGAGATAACCAGCTTCTTCTGCCGAATGGTAGCCTGGAGATAGGATTGTAGCCCAACACAGGTAAGGAACCAACTGTTCTCTCTGAGCAATTTGCAAGCTGTCTCTTTATTCTTCCTACATGAGTTTCTCAATGAGGAGACGTGGGAATTATCACAATCCCAGCAGCTGACACCAGATACCTATCCTAAGACACAGTAGAGTTGGTCAGGTGGTTATTCTCCCTAAAACAGGCCTTATTGTTTTGGAGCGGGGTGGACAACATCTGGCCCTCCAGATGTGTTGCCTTACAACTCCTATGAGCTCTAGCCAACATAGCCAATAGCAAATGATCATGGGAACTGTAGGCCAAAGCCACAAGCTGTCCACCCCTGCTCCAAAACAATAAAGCCTTGTGTTGCCTAAGCTACAGTGTTTCTGCCCAGCTTTTGATTTCAAGGAGAAGATAAACAAAAACCTCTCTTCTGTTTGCTGTACTCCTCAGAGTTAAGAACACTGAGGTTGGGGAAAAAATCTCCCAGACTTAATTTCAGATCTTAACTTTGTAACTGGGGAAGTCAAAATACCAAAACATTTAACTAAGTAGTATTAAACCTTAAACCTATCTGTTTGACCATTCACTTATTTATACTCATTAAATATATTCATTTCTGTACAGAGGAGAAGAAATAATAATACCATGCAAACACTGGGGGCCAGGGTGTTTCTAGACAGAGGTCCTAGTGCCAGCAATTAGATGGTATTGTGCAACTTTTCTGGATTTTCTTCCTTCATGCTTTTTCTGCCTGGAGAAAAAAGACAGAAGCAGAGGTGGGAAAATGTGGGGAGATATATGTCGAAGATAATCTCATGTGGACACACACACCCATGAACGAGATCAGATGCAATGGTGTGGTGGAAAATAGAAACATAGAAACAGAGTGAGTCAGAAGGGACCTCCTGGGCCATCTAGTCTGACCTCCTATTGCAGGCATTACAGTTCCCCAACCACAGCCCAAAGAGAAACCCACGTGCCAGTGGCCATGTTAATCCATCCCTCTACCTATATTTTTATATGACTTCTGGAAAACTGGTGGGCCTTAACTACACATTTGAGGTCTTGACCTGGTCACCCCAAATACTTGGCATTGCAGCATGGATAACTCACAATACATAGTTGCTGAGAAAATTCAAGTCCCTCTTGCTACTAGGAAGATCAAAACTAAATTCAGAGGGAACAGGAAAAGTTGAAGTAGCTGTCATATGACCGTGCTAATGTAAAAATCCCGGTACTTTGACCCTGTGAGCCCTGGCTCAACTATACAACTGGTGGGATGTAGGAGTGATAAAAGGCTAATCCGGAAACACCACAAAAGGCAATGAAATACAAGGAGTAGCAGCATACTTTTATGCTGAAACTAAAATTATACAATAGACTAATTTACAACATTAGTCATCATTTCTAGCAATGCTGTGCCTACAGTCCTGATGTGTAATACATTCCCAAACATAGTTAGTAAGTTCCATTGAGCTCAGTGAAGTCTGCCTTCCATGAAGTGTGGTTAGCCTCCATCTGAAATGAGCACACTATCAACTTTGCCAACCAAATGGAAGACTCCCTCTGAAATCCTTTGGTTAATATGAGTGGTGACTTCGAGGTTTACAGCACCAGTATGGATTTTCTTGCGCTGGGAGGGCTGCTGTAAGGTTTACAAAGGATGATGCGTGCAAATTACTGTAAGTGTTGGAAGGTGCTGTTTCAAAACACAAACCCTCCTGCTGGCTCAGATGAAGAGGGACTCTTTGTACCCATCATGACTCCTTTTAAACTTGTCCATGTAGGTGGTCATGGATGTTTACTACATCTTCTGATAGTTCCGCAGTTTAGCCATGCAGTGAGTGAAAAGTACTTCCTTTGATCTGACCTGGATCTCCCATCATTCCATTTCACTGGAGCAGATCTGATTCAAGTATTATGAAAGGAAGACTGATCTCACTCTGCCCACTTGTCCCACACCACACATAATTTTATAAACTTATGTTCCCCCTTATCTGTTTTCTTACCTAAACAGCCCCAAGTGTTGTAACCTTACATAAGACCATAAAAGGAGCCCTGTTGGATGAGAACAAAGGTCCCTTTAGTTACATTCTCTTGAATCAGTGGGAACCCAGCTGCCCAGAGGAGACCCACAAGCAAGACAACAGGGCAACAGCACCCGCCTGCTCCTGCCCACCAGCAACTCGTGCTCGCATACTGCCTCTGATACTTCAAGTGGCATATAGTCATCAGGACTAATAGCTATTAATAGCCTTATTCTCCATGCATTTCCTTGTAGGGGACTTTCTCCAGGCTCTTTAGTTGCCCTTTCCAGCACCACAATATCTTTTTTGAGATACAGGGGCCAGAACTATAAGCAATATTCCACGGGTGTAGCACCCAAAGTTTGTTGCTGTTATGGGCCTAAGGTTTTCCAGGACAATCTGTGGGTTGAAGTACCTCTGTGAAGATCGGTTTTAACCAGCCCAGTGCTTTCCAAAGCACTCCATTTGGAACTCCCATCATTTCCAGCCAGCACGACGCTAGGAAAGATGGGAATTGCGGTCCAGTGCATCTGGGAGGCACGTGGTTGGGGAAGCTGGCGCAGCGTGCCTGCGCATGGCAATTCTACCCCTAGTGGCAGCAGGAAGAAATGCGCCTCGCTTGCTCCTCCCCGCCCTCCCTCTGCTCGTTCTGCCACCGAAGGCTTGGAGGAAAAGGGCTGGCGGGCAGAGGAGGCAGGCAGGGAGGGAGGGGCGCGCTCGGTGGCCTTTCATTTTGCAGGCGCTGAAAAGGCAGACGGATCATTCCGTTTCAGAGCGGCGCTGGGAGGCTTTGGAGAGCCGCCGCTGCCGCCATGCCGGTAAGTGATCGTAAACCCCGCAATCCGAGGCGCGGATTGGGTCGCGGGGCCGTGAAATAGGCTGGTTGAGCAGCTGCGGGTGCTGCATCAGCCCCTCCACCGGCGTCCTATGGTTTCTGGCCAGCGGAAAGGAAGCTCGTTGCTTTCCTTGGAAGCTTCCTCTTTAACAGACTCCCAGGCCCAAGTTGAAACGTGTCGCTCATCCCTCTTCTACGACGCCCCCTTGGAACGGTTCTTATTTCGTGAAGAAAGTGGACGCATTCCGAAGTGTTCTGGATCCGGGGGGGGCGGCGGCGGGGGGATGCGGATCGGTGACTTGCCACGGGTTTCTGTCTGTGGCCTTGCTCAAGTTACTTAAAAATGGCTTGCAACTCGTCAGATCAGGATTCCTGCATCCTGAGGATGTGGATTGTTTTGACCACTTATCGCACGATTTTTGCAGCCGCTATTTGATTAAAAGCTACGACAGCTTAAATTGTCTGGCTGTGTGTGTGTGTGTGTGAGAGAGCGAGCGAGCGAGCGAGCGAGCCAGCCCTACTTGTATTCATCCCATGGTCAGGGTGGGGTAGCTGTGTTGTTACCTTATACCATTTTATGCCTTACTTGAAAACACTGGGTGGGTTGGTAACACAATTAATACAATCAGAGGGAAATCTCAAGTTGAGGCCTCAAGAAAATGAAGCAAATCAAGCTTGTTATTGGCTAAATCAGTGGATTTTACTCAGACTAATAGCCTTCAGAATAAAGCTTTGCATGGACCATATGAACATTTGACCTGAACGTCTTCCTCATCACTACCCAAAAAGTGGTTAGCTGTGATGCTTAGAATATGGTGTGACTTTCTGAGGTTTACTGCCCCTGCTTAATCGAAAAAGAAGAGACAGTCACTGGGTTGTAGTCTATCTTCACAGGAGCTCTTTGGGAATTGTTCCCTGTGAGTATGTTGCATCAGAACTGCTAATGTGTGTTGCTTTGTCGGTGAGTACCTTGAGTGGAGCCTGACAGTGGGACTGGCTTCCACTCAAGCATTTCTTTCCCATACATGGCCAACAATGTTGGTGATGATGTTTTTACACACAAGAAAAAGGTCCCTTCCAACATTTTGTTCTGTGATCTTCACAGGAGATCTTGAGCCTGGACCTGCTGCTTAGGACAAGTGGTCAGTGTGAATCGGCCCATAGATCAGCCTTTCTAGATCATCTAGTGAAGGTAGAAATCTGAAAGATGCCAGGAGTTTGGCCTCTCTATGGCATTGTAGCTCACACACATTTTTGTCTGTCCCTTATCCAAATTATGTTTGATTGTGTGACTTAAATTTCTGGACAATCTCCTGTTTCAGACCTCTGAATTGCACCTGTAGAGGTACCAGGAAAAACCGGTTAGTCACTCAAAGGCTGACTTCATTCCCACACCTCTTGTAGGCTTTGATAACAGTGCACAAAAAGCTGCAGAGACACATAAGTCGCTTGGGGCTGAGCTGTTTACAAAGGATGCTGAGTTTGCTAATCTTATCAACCTGGGACTGGTTCATACTTTGCACAGTGGGAGGATAAACTAGGGACTTCCCCAGACTTAGGACTTTTGGACTTCAACTCCAATCATCCCCAGCCAGCATGATCAAATGTCAGGAATTCAGGTAGTCCAGCTTTCCCTAGCCTGGTGTCTTCCAGATGCTTTGCAGCACTGCTCCCAAGATTGTTGATGCTTGGCTATGCTGGCTGGGGCTGATGGGAGTTGAAATCCAAACCATTAGGTTGCAGAAGCTGAGATAGAACATCTTTAACCTGTCTGCTAAGAGGATAGTAATAGTATTCATTAGCTAATTCACAGTATACAGAAATTACAAGCAGTATAAGAAAAATTAGGGCTGTAATCTAGAACTTCAGAAAAAGTGCGATTGCACATGGATTTTCATTACCTGTAACAATTTATACAGATTGTAGATTTTCCAACTTTTTGAGGTTTTATTGAACTTCTGGGAAGAATGGTCAGCATTCTATTTTTTTTAAAAAAATGAAAATAAAGGGGGATTATTACAACTACTACTGACATGGTATAGCAAGTCATCACAGGTTCCAGACTTGAGAGATGCTGTTCTGGATTCTGGTAAGAGGCATTCCCCAACCTGGTTATCTCCAGAAGTGTTGCACATCAGCCCCAGCAATGTGCATTATGGCTAGGGATCAAGGGAGTTGTGTTCTGACACATCTGGTGAGCACAAGGCTGAGGAAGGCTGCTTTATGCCTACCTGGATAATCAGATAACTACAAATTACCTTTGTAATTTGCCCTGCTCTCTAGTTATGAGCATTTCCTTTCTATAAAGAAAGAAATTGCCTTTGCATTTTGAGAAGATAAGCTCTTCCATCTAGTTACCAAGCACTGCTTGCATCTGGAAAACTCTGGGTGTTTTAATGTCTAAAACAGACATTATTGCCTGGGTGTTCTTGAGCACAAGTTCTGGATTGTATTTGCTTTACAGAGCAAAAGTAAAATCGCAATAATAGAAGCAGAATAAAGAGTCTGTTTAGTTGTACATGACCTGCAATATTGTTTAGGAGATATCATTTCCCAAATAGACCTTCTCCTGTCTACCTTGGTGATTTAAATCACCTTGATTTTAAACCAGTCCACCTTCAGTAATGGAATAAAAACATTGTTTTTAGCTGACAATATATTCTTTAGGCAGGTGTCTACAATTTGAGCTTGATATGGTAGCAAGTGATATTTGCATGCTTATGCCCTATAAGACTCAGATTTATGAATATTGCAATGAATATGAGTTTGTTTTGCAAAGATTTGAATGTGCTTTTGAACAACTGCTTAAAAATGTCTCGCTACTGTATTAACCTATTGACTTGCTTTTCCTGCACTATCACACAGTTGCTCAGTGAGGTTCATTTCAGCGGCCTCACTCAGTGTTTCTTCCAATGTTTTCAGAAACACGAGTTCTTTGTAGACATGACCTGCGAAGGATGCTCCGGTGCTGTTACCCGTGTTCTCAACAAGCTGGGAGGTGAGTGTGACATGGCAGACGCTAGCACTTGAACGCATGATGCTTCTCGGGTTTAGTGTTGCACTTAAAGGACTCCTGCTTGCCCTGGTTGCAAAGCAAGAGACCGTCTTGCTGGGTGGGTTGGACTCTTACTCATACATTGCAAGCCAAGCCCCGTATTAGCTTGAAGTACAGCTGTTATCCCACTGAAATATGTGTCTAGCCCTGCCCAACCTGATGTCATCCAGACGTGTCATATTGCAACTCCCAGCATCCTTAAGCAATATAAGAGATGCTAGGAGTTGTAGTCCAGCACATCTGGATGGCACCAAGTTGGCCATGGCCTGTGCTCCACAGTCATCTTCTGCAGTTGTCAATGTGTTTTATTAGAAACTTGATTTTTTAATTTCCAGTTGTATGTGGTGGTTATACTCATACTTGGATATCCAATTCATTCTATATACTTAAACTTGAAAGATATCATTTCTGGGACACACTTTAATTTCATTCCCTGCTGTAGCTAAGGTAGCAAGTGACTTCTCAAAAGCTGCTTTGTTCTTCATGCTAGTAGTTGGTCAGTAACTAATTATTGATTGTTGATAATAGAATGTTTAAGTTGCATCCCGTGACCCTTGGTGAGACAGTGTAGATTGATTGGCACATTTTCTCTTCTAGACCATAACAAATTGTCCAGTAAAGCTGATTCTGTTGTCTAGGCGTCATCCTACACTCATTTAATTGCTGGTGATTCTGTGTAACTCTAGTCTAGAGTTTAGTCTGCAGGAGGAGATCTGAATCCGTGGCTGTCTTTAATGTCCTACCAGGATTCAGCTCTTGTCCTGCTCTAAATGGGTGTTGGTGTCGGGATGGTAGTGGCGAGGCAGTGAAGGACATCCTCAGCAAGGGCCACTTCACACGCTAAGGATTTCCTACGCAGAAGTTCCATTCCTTTTGGGAATCATCGTGAAGCCGACGTTCTCACAACATTCACTGAAAACATCTACCAAGAAGCTGCATCCTGTGTTCTTGTGGAGAATATGTACATAATCTGTCCATGAAGAGGGGCTTGTGCACCTTTCTCCATCGATAGACATAGTCTCCAAAAAACCCTGGGGAATGTGCCATGCTTGGGCATTATGCACACTCTCTGAGAGGCTCTGAGGGCTGGGCATGTCTCGGTGGCCTTGTGCACATTCTCTGGGCAATACATACAGTCTCCAAGCAACACTGAAGCTCAATCTGGTCACGATGTTGTGCAGGCAGCAGTGCAGTGCCTGCCCTCAGGCCTGTCAATGTACCAAAATGAGATGACAGAATGGATGGTTGGAGTAGGCTATATTTTTCAGTGCTCTTCTGTGTGAAAACCAGAGCAGAAAAGTTGCACAGTTGGGAGCAGACTGGACTAAACTTTCTCCCCTGATGCACTAATTTTAACTTGCCTATGAAAAGGCAGGAGAAAATGGCAAAAGGGTACCCTCATTTTCTTATAAGCTGAGTCTCGCGGCTTAAACTTCAGCCACCCACTTTTCTTGTATTGTAGGTCAGGCCTTTCCTTCAAGACACTGAAATGTTTTAAACAAGTACAGGCATCTTCTGGCTCTCCCAGTGTTCGTGTTAGCTTACAGCTTCCATCATCACCATAGCCAGTGGTAAGGAATGATGGGAGCTGTAGGCTAGAACATTCAGAGTGCTTCAAGTTGCCCAACCTAGTAAAATTCAAGGAAAAGACAGAGGGTATGTTACCACAGGGAAATCAATCTGCCTGGGAACCACCATAGACTGGTCAAGGGTGGAAGGGCTCTTGCAAAACTGAACATAGCCAGACCTCTAAGGAAAGTGCTGAGAAGTTGGAAAAGGGACAGAATGGAGGTTTTTTAATGTCCCGTCACATCTTCAAAAATGTAACTTGCTTTTCTCTTAAGTCCTAAACAGCAGCTTATTGTACTGAAGAACAAATCTAATAAATTCTACAGCACAGTCATGATTTCTTTCACTTAGCAACCCAGATTGTCCAGGCTTGGATGCCATGCTAACAACCTTCAAATGGAGCATTTGCAGGTTCTTAATTAAAAGTGGAAGCAATGTCTGCACTGGAGGCCATGTGCTCACTCACTCCTGCTAGATTTCAGAAATGTGTGGGTTAATCCAAGATTGCCATGTGAACTGGCTCGAAAGGAGCATCTTGTTTCCTTAAAAACAAAAAGCATGCCCCCTTAGATTGGTATTAATAGTTAAAACACTGACTCTGCAGTTCATGCTTGGTTCAGACTTATGCTTAAGTATTCAGTGTGTGTGTTTGAAGTAGAATTCTGTTCCACAACACATACAGGGAAATACAGGCTTTGTTGTATGTGATTACTTCCTTTGGGAAAGAGCTACACCTGCAGCAAAAATAGACAACCTGATGTCATCTGGATTTCCAGACTATAGCTCCTCTAATCCCTGACTATTGTCTGTGTTGACTGGAGCGTATGAGAACTGAAGGACAAAAATTTCCTCTGGAGGATCTATTGATCTAGATTGAGCTTTGGAGTATTTCCAGATGGTTACACCACCACCCCACCCCACCTGCTAAGTTGGAAAAGTGTCTCCCTGGGCAGATGTCTCCAAGCTTTTCCTGGAGGCAGCACAAGCAGTGGCTTCCTTACAAAGGCTCCAAGACTTGGGAGTGTGACATGACAGGTGGAAAAAACCAAACCCTGATGGCAACCCTGATTCTACTATATATAGTAGAATATATAATGATTAAAAACAACAACATTAAAAAAAACAAGTATAGCTGAAGGTCGGCTGACATTGGATAAGAATCTTTCTTACACCAGATCAGAGCATTGGTTGGTTCATTAATATTGAACCAACGTTGGATGCCAGGAAGCATTTTGGATGCCAGGGAGCACTTCCTGACAGTTAGGATCCTGAGGGTATGGAATGGGCTTCCACGAGAGATCGTTGAGGCCCCATCGGTGCGGGTGTTCAAGGATAGGCTGGACGTCCACATGGTGGGCATGTTGTGAGCGGAGCCGGCTGGGGCCGGAGGTCAGACTAGATGGCCTGGGAGACCCCTTCTGGCTCGCTCTGTTTCTATGTTTCTATTGTTTGTCCAACCTGCTGCCTTCTAGATGTGCTGGACTGTGACTCCCATGGGCCTTCCGCAGCATCTGGAGGGCTGTCCTAAACTCATACAAGCCTGTGCTTAATGGGTGTGGTAGCATTTGTAGTCTAGCACAAGTGGAGGGCCCCAGGTTGGGGAAAGCTGGTCTGTATTGGACTGGTAGCAGCTCCCAGGTGCTTATCGGCATCTTTCCCAGTCCTTTGGCATGGAAAGCACAGTCCTGAGCAAAAGTCCTATCACACCCTAAGTAGTGTCTTCCTGAATCATATATCCTGTGTGTTGCTTTTCTGTTCAAACTAGCACTCAGTTGTGAGAAAGACTCATGGGACCTGTTGTGTTGTCCGCTTTTTGATCCATGTCGTATCGTTCCTTCAGGTGTTCAGTTTGAAATTGACCTACCCAACAAGAAAGTGAGTATTGAGTCAGAGCACAATGTCGACACTTTGTTGGATACGCTGAAGAAAACTGGGAAAGATGCCTCCTATCTTGGAGAGAAGTAACCATCTAGGAGGATTGGCTGGTAGGGCTCCTCTGCTGCAGGAAAGGTAAGATGCCAGAAATAGTATAAAACTATTTAAACAGTATAAAACTATATAAACCTAGGAGGAGACTGGTACCTCGTGAGAAATGAGCTGAAAATAACAGCTACACATAGTAATAAAATGACCAGGTTCAGACAGCATGATATCCTGCACTCAAGGGTTGAATATGGGCTGAGTGTGAGTTGTTGAACTTTGTATGGATGATGATGTTTTTTGAGCCTGGCTGAGCTAACAAACTATGGGTTATTATCTCAACTGGGTTCAGACAACACAACCCATGTTTCAACAGTGTTCCATGGTTCAATGACAGCCCAAGCTCAAGCCATATTTAACCCCTGTGTGTAGGTTATTGTGTGGCATGAATCCAGGCAATGGGAAGTCATCTTACCAATAATGTCCTCACATTCATATAATTGACTTAAATGAACTGAGGGCAGAGAAACTCAGAACCAGATGCCTTCAGATCATACTTTTTCTTCTGCTAATATTGACATGGCCAGACAGATCCTGGCAAGCAGGAGTGTTGAGCCTCAGACCTGTGGGGCACTGTGGCTCACAGAGGGTCCCCAGATGGCCCATTACCTTTCCTTACTCATCATCCATCACGGGTGATTTCCCAGCTTTTGCCATTTGTTCGTCTCACACAAAAAGAGGTTCGAATGTGTAGTTCTGCCCTCATATATTCTGCCTACAGAACTCACATTTTATACTAATTGAGGCCAGCTTGTATTTCAGCTACAAGATGAGGCTATACAGAGGCTGTGACTCTGATCCATCCACTTGTGGACAGATTGGCTGAGGCTGTGTGTGCCTAGCCTTTTAGAAAAAGTTGCAACCATGAAAAGGGCCAGCATTTCCAAAATGGAAGCTCCAACTTTGGCTGGCTTAATAAAGGTATTATACTAATGCAAATTAGGATTTTTTTTCTACCTTTGAGGAATTGTACATGCAATACCTATTTTTGCTAGCTACTAACACATCCCTGGGAATCTATATCTGACTGACCTGTATAAGCTCATAAGAGCCTGGATGGTGCCGTGGTTGGATGGCTGGACTGGGACCCAGGAGATCCACATTCTAGTCCTTGCTCGGTCATTAAGCTCTCAGGGTGTATGAGCCACAGAGTCTCAGTTTAACCTACCATATAGGGCTCTTGTGAGGTTAAAAGGGAAAGGAGGATTATGTAAACTGCCTTGAGTTTCTTGTGGAGGAAAAGGGCAGGATAGAAATATTATAATTAAGAGTAGGTTTTCACAGTAGTAGGGACTGCAGGCAGTACTGTTGAGGGGTTACTATCCACAGCTCAGTTTTTGGTCTCACTGTAGTCTCGAGCAAAGCTAGTTGTGCAGGCTTCAATATTAGTTAAGATGGGAAGGGGCACCAAGATAACCCCCCGCAACATTATAAGCTCTGAAGCAATAGAGGCATGTGGACTCCATGTGGGTGCTCTGTGGGGAGTGTCTAATGGAGAGTTTCCATGAGGAATAGCACACTGCTTTGCCCCCACTGTCACTTCTTCAGGTTGGGAAACAGCTCTTTAAAACAGTTTTAAATACTTTTAAAAAGTGAAAGTACCTGTCTGAACGTAACATGTATGGGTAGGGAGGAACAGCATAAGGCTGGCCATTCCTTTCAGGAGCGCCCCTTTATTTTCCAGTGTTTCTGTGGCCTAGGCCACAAAGCACTTGTGATCAGTTCTGCCACACAACTGATTTGTATGGAATTCCAAGAAAAGGGTACAGCTAGGGTTTGGGTTATAAATTAACAGGCTCCCTGCACTCCTGTCATGTTGTGAGGCTGTCTGGTGTATTTCTAGTGCCGTGCGTAGTGCTAAGGGGGATAGCACTTCTACTGAACTTTGGAAATTATTGTCTGCTTACTGCCAGTGTTTTGGCTGAGCTGCTGGGTGACCCATGGCATCGAGGTGGGCACTGCAAAGATTTCAGACTTCCTTAAAGGTATCACTGGTTCACATTAAAAGGCTTTCTTGGAGAATGGTGTCGGGCTGCACTGGTATGCTTGCTGGAAAATAGAAAGCAATTACTTGGTGTCCTTCCAAGAAAGCAGCCCTGATCATTTAAAAAAATATCCATGTGTTTGCTCTTTGCACTAAGAAATCAAGATCCTGCCCCAAAGTAACTCATTCAGCACCCAAAATCACCACCCTGAATTCTGTCAGTTCAGTCCAGATTTAGTTCATCCTTAGAACAGACCAATTAGAACTTGTTACTCACATTCACGTAAGTTATATTGATTCCAGTGGGACTGTTCTGAGGATTACAAAATCTGAATCCATTTGTGCAGATTATGAAATTGACTTTCTTTGCATAATCTGTGCTCTCTTCAACTGTTGCTAACCACTCTGGCAGTAGGTGAGAATTTGCTAAGTATTGTCTCCCATAGGAAATCTGCCACAGCCCTCCTATGCACCCCAGTGCCTGATATTTACTTGATCTTGGCCACTTAGCCAAGATCTTGGCTTCAGAAAACTACAAACTAAGCAGGTAGCAGAGACTCTTCAGATTGTGAACACTGTCTGCAGTTTCAGTGTTCAAGCAGAGCTGTGGGATGCACACGCCTCAGCTTCAGCTGTGGAATACTAATGGATAATGCAAACAAGCACCAGTGCAGAAAGGAGGCATTCAGCCTGAATTCTTTCTTGGTTTCCTGCAGTGATAGAAAGGAGAACAGGTTCTCCTTGATATTGGGAGCCAGATGTACATTTGGAAGCCATGGTTCTCTCTGTGCATGTGCAGATTTGGAAAGGAGAAGAGGAAGGATTTGAGGATTTGAATTAGAAATCAAAACCCCCAGTGTGTCTCCCCCCCCCCCACCTGTTTGGCACCTGTGTGCCGCTTAGAAGGATGGGGTCACTGTTTCAGACCAACCACGAGTGCTGGAGCCTAGGACAGTGCCTCCCCACTCCCTCACCGACCCTTTTATGGAGTACTTTTTTGCCACACATGGACTGTCTGCCCCTCATCCCATAGCAGAAATGACAGGTTGGTTAGGCCTGGAAATGGAGCTTAAGAAAGTTAACCCGTCTTGTGGTCAAAGCAGATCCTTCCCCACATCCTCCTCATATTTGTACATGTGGTCACCACCACCAGACCCCTCGTAGCTATGAATTGGATCATTCTTCAACTGTGCATCTCAAGCACCGTTCTCCTTTTGTGTCTCTGATGCTTTCTTTCCAGGTTTTTTTCCAGTTGAGCCAAAAGTGTGCCACAAAAGGTTTTGGAAGACAATAGCCACAGAAACATGTATCAAGATCCCGATTTTGGTTGTTATAAATATATTTATGCCACGCTTCAATGACAACTCCCAGGGAGTTTACATAAAAGAAAATACAAATACTTAAGTAAAAATGTTGCAAAAATAGAAGAATCAGCAGAGCTAAAATTCTGTCGAAGAGGCCTGAGAACATGGAAAGGTCTTTGCCTGGTGCTTAACCTGCCCACCCCACCAGCAAAGTCAGCACCAGGCAGGAAAGCATTCCTCAGTTATTATGTACTATTATTTATTTAATAAATAATTACAGACCGAGTAGCAGTGCCCACAGAGCAGTTTACAGTCATCACAGTCTGAAACAACAATAAATAACCAATACAACAACACAGCAAAAATATTTACAATGTGAAAGGATCAGCAATAAAGTTAATAATTGCAAATTCAATAGTAAGTGCCTGCTGGAAGAGGAAGGTCATAGCCTGGTGTCTAAAGGTATACAGTGAGATACCAGGTAGATCTCCACAGGAAGGGCACTGTATAGGCCAGCAGCAGGGGCTTTGCAGAAAAGGCTGCTTCCGTGGCAGCCACCCGTTCTCCCATTGTCGGAAGCAACACTCAAAGAAGAGCTTCCGAATGTGATCGTAACACTCCAGCAGGAGCATATGGTAGGAACAATTGGGGTGACACCGCTAAGAAGGTAGTTGCCAGGGTTCAGATGGCAGGGCACCCAGAAGAAGGCCTGAACTGGAGATTTTAATAAACAAGTAGGCATCAATGGCAAAAGATTGTTAGAGAACAACCCAGCTTCTGAGCTCAGGGGATTATAGGCATCTTATGCAGGGCCAAAGGCGCATTGAGGTGAAAAGTATCTCTACTGTTCTCCCGCTTTGCAGGCCAGCAAGAAAGCCAATTTCAAAGGGTATCTGAGAATCTGAAATGGCATCTGGAAATCCAAAGAATCCTGTGGACTTCTAGATACTGTCTAGGATCCTTGATTGATTGATTTGACTTGTATCGTACCTTTCTAACCATTCAAGGTAGCTTAAATCACCAATAAAACTGGTTAAAAGCAATAATTGCACAAGTACATTAAGCACAATTAATGACAGCAAATTGCCTCTCGTGCATTCTTTGATACCCTAAAGATCAAAACTAGCAATTTGAATAGGGCCTGGAAACAGATTTGGGGGGGGGGGGGCACAGCTGCTAGCATAACATCAGGGTGCGGCATCCAGATGCTCAGGTCCGCTTGATCATCTGGTATCTGCATTCTGAACTCACTGCAGTTTCCAAACTCTCTAAAGGCAGCTGCACATGGAATGTTTTGACTGTATCCTCAGCTGAGGGCTACCAGAGCATGGAGCAGAAGACTGGGCCCTGCCTAGGATCAGTTGCAGTTGGTGTTCTGGCCCAAAGCGCAGTCTGCCCCATCAAAAGAATCTGGGCCTCCTTTGACAGGGATGGTTCAAAGAGCATCTCCAAGCTGGGTAGTGTAGTGATTAGAGGCCAAGAAGACCCAGATTCAAAACCTTTTTCAATCAGGGAGCTCTCTGGGTGACCTCTGGTATTCTTGCATGCCATCAAGTCATCTCCAACTTCTGTAGACCCTTCCAAAATGCCCTGTCCTTCACAACTCTAGTCGGCTCTTGGAAATTCAAGACTCTGCCTTCCTTTATGGAAGTGATCCGTGTCATGGTTGATCTTCCTCTTCATGGACCTTTAGCTTTCTCTAGTCTAAGTGCCTTCTTTATTGAGTCTTGACTTCTCATGAGGTGTTTAAAGTCTGACAGTTTCAGTTTGTCATGTTTTATTCCAGGGAAAGTTCTCTAACTTTGCTCACAGGATATTATGAGGATAAAAAGAGAGGAAGAACCATATATAGAAACATAGAACATAGAAACAGAGCAAGTCCGAAGGGGCCGCCCGGGCCATCTAGTCTGACCCCTGGCTCCAGCCAGCTCCACTCATGACATGCCTGCCATGTGCATGTCCATGTATACCACCTTGAGCTCCTTGGAGAAAATGTGAGACATAACTGTGATACATAAAATGAGCACTACAGAAATAAATAATAAACCTTTTCCTTCAGGAAGATTTTGAAACTGACTTGTTACAGATTAAATACTGCTTCCTTGGGTAGAGAAGCCACCCACCCCCAGTACCTCTTATCTAAATGGAGCACATTACAGTTGCATGCTTTGAAAGAAATGGATGAGACCCTAAAAAAATAGACGTTGCTTAAAGAGGAAATTGCAGTGTTCAGAAAACAGTAGGAATAGATTTCAACCTACCCGGACATTCCATTACTGTCCTTATGGTTCGAACAAATTGTTAGTTCAATTGTCACAAGGAAATTCCATCCTGGAACTGCTGAATTACAACTTACTGAGAAAATCAGTTCTATTCATTTTGGCCTGAATAGCCACAATTGCTTTCTCTCCCACCAGGTACTAATTTACTCATCCATAGTAAGATGGTTGAATTCATATGAATTATTGCTGCTATAAAGGGTCATTGTTCTTATTTTGCACACATTTAAGTGCTAAATGAATTGTCCCATATTTTGCTCTGTGCGTTTCATCGCCATTAGCTACAACCTTTGTCTGCAGGGGCACCTAGACCTGCCGGTTGAGGATTACTCCTTGTGCATGAAGTAGATTCCAGTCCATGGATGCTTAGAGCATAATGCACTTGGTCATTTTAAAAGTGCCACAAGACTCTTTATTGCAATTGCTTAAGGCTGATCTCCCTTTGCACTTCCACCAGCAGATGGTAGTCTTGTCTAATTCTCTTTGCCCTTCCTTGATTTTTCAGCAAGGCTTAGCATGGCTTCAGTGAGAAGGTTTATGAGTCCATCAGTCCTCTTCCTGTGACTGCACTTGCCCTGCCAGATGTTGGAGAAGAAGGAATGGGTGGGAAGAAGACTGCTTTTGGCAGGGAAAGAACTAAGCAAAATCTTGACCTTGACAGATGTCCCAAGTTATCTCCCACAGATGTACTGCTTATGCATTCTTCTTTTTGGCCTTGTAATAAACAAAGGAGCTGCTTTAGTTTTCCTTTAAATGTGATGGTGTCAGTGTATTTTTTTAAAGCCTTTGCTCTAGTTTAGTTTTAAAACTAAATAACAACCTCGGCCTACTTGCTAATGTGGTAACACTCTAAAGGGATGTACTGAGCATTGCTGGGTTACACTGCTGGGTGCCAATACATAATATATTTTTCTTGTTTCCAAGTTACGGTGACACAGTGGATGTGTGGTGCAGAAAGCAGAGAATGAGGGAGAGCGGGGTTCAAATATCCAAACATCATTTGTTGACATTACTGAGTGGCCTTAGATTAGGCTGATCTGCCTGACAAGACCTCCCCAAGATAGGTAATTTTATTTTACCTTATTTACTTGCCAGACATTTTTGAACTTGAGCCAGAGTGATCTATGGACCGGGATGATGGGATGGGTAGTTCAGCAAAAGCTGGAGTCTACAGGTTTTCCACACATACCCCTCCCCAGCATGTGGGGCTCAGGGTCAGCCCTGCTGCCCAGTCGGGTACAGATATTAATAGGAGCACTTTGTGTATCCTGTCCTGGGCACCTGGGAGGAGGGCTGGGAAACAGGTGTGGTGTGCCTGGCACAGTCCCCAGCATGAAGGCGCATCAAGGCAAAGAATGGCTGGAGTCACTGCAGTGCAACATTCAAATTTGAGCATGGACTTCCTGTGTGCATGTGTTCTCATGCTGCCCAAACTGTACTATTGGGTAATAGGTGGCCGAAGATGATGCACCCAAGGAAAAACTCAACGTAATACACATGAAGCAAGCAGAACATACAGAGGATTGTGAATATCTAGGGGAAAACTTAAAACTTGCAGGACATTTTCCTCCTAAACATGCAAAGAATTGCCCCTGTTGTTCTATGGACTCGTGTGTATTTCCATCACAGTATTATGCACTGCCACATAGGAGTCTTGAGTAAGAGCAGATGTACTAGCTAGAAAAAAGTCTCTCTTGCCTCCCAGTAAGTCCTTGTTTTTCTTCCTTTTAATCTCAGTCCTGATTGCTAATGAAAATAAGCCTGCCCCCTTTCCTCTTCCCTGCAGGAGTGCTTTCGTATTATTCTCTTGGGGTGCTTTGGACATTCGCATGGTTCTAGTTGCCTTAACTAAAGTTGCCTGTGAAGTCGGTGTCTCCAGCTCAGTGCAGAAGAAGCCTGTCCATGAGCTTCGCCTCAGTTCGAGAACTGTGGCAGCCTGCAGGCACCATTCCTTGCCTTCTTCTCCAGTTGAGTCATGCGGAAACCTTGGCAGAAGTTTCCTTGCTCTTTTAAATACAGGCCACAATTGAGGACCTCTTTCAGTGTTCATAGGATGATGTATATAGGACTGTTGCCCATTCCTTTCGGTGGGACTGAAGCACAAAATCCAATGCACGACTGCTAAAAGTAGGTTCTGTTCGGCAAGACCCGCTACGGAGTAAGTGTGTGTAGGGTTACAGGGCAAGTGTTCATAACTCTGCACTGGATTGTGGCCATACTTTATTTTGGCTCCCTCAGCGTTAAACCCTTCTGAATATTTATTTAAGCCTGACTTAGAAGCATTCATGATGGGGAATGGAACCATATTTTCTCACTGCTTTTAGAACTTTCTGGTTTTGGTGCACTCAGTTTCTCCACTGGATCATTTGGGTTAACAGTAACGTACTCTGTTTACCTACTTAATCACTTTTCCCTCTTCCAGTCTCAGAGATACAGAAAGGCTGGCTGTTGAGTGCAAAGTCCTTCGTTGTTAGTTTTAGAATGTGGCTCCTCCAAGGGTGCAGAATGAGATAGAAATGCACAGACACAAGAGCCTAAGTTTGGTCACTAGCAGAGTAGCAAAATTGAAAGTAGTTCTTGCACCTTGATATTTATTTGGAAATAAGTCCCAGTGAGTGTCATGGAATGTACACTCACTGGGACTTCAGCTAAACATGCTAAGGATTCCAGCCCAGCATGCAATCTTCTCTAAGCTAGCATGCTTTTGCATAGCAAGCTGATAAAACTGATGGCACTCAGGGGTCAATGGCTGGAAACCTGTGGGCCTCATCCAACCCTTGCCCTGAAGTTTGTGGCTTCTACTTCTCCATGCATGGACAAACGTCTGGGCTCCTTTTGATCAGGGAGGTATTTCTCCTAGCAGGAAATGGATTCTCCAGAGGCATCATGGTAAAGTAAGGGCAGGCTGCTAGTGGTTCTCAGTTTGTCTCAGCCTAAACATGATCCTGACTCCTGGCTGTGCTGTGCAGAGAGTTGTAGGCCAAAACATCTGAGGGCCATAAATTGCTTCGTGTGATGCTTTTGGCCCAGCATGATAATCGTTTGCAGAGGCATGACGCAGGAGAGCATGGGATGGCCATTCTGTCATGTTAGAGTGCTTACTGGGTTCTGTAGCTGGAGGTGGCAGCCCTGCCTGACCCCTTTTGCCCAAGCTCTTCTCCTCGGCTTCTGCAATAAGATGACAGCGAAGGACATTCTGGCCAGCTTTGCAGCAACAGCATCACTCCCTGCCAGAAAAGTTAGTCATCTGTAGCATAAATGACCGGCCTCATCCTCATTTCCACTTTCATCAGCTGACAACCGCCAAGTATGACAGTCACCCCTTCTGGGGTGGCCATTTGTCCTTGTGTGTAGAGGGCAGCACCCTATTTGACATGTTGCCCAGTCCAAGCCCCATGTGAAGATAGAGCCATAAGGAAGGTGGGAATGCAGGGACCCAGCAGCTGCCCATTCACAGTTCTCATCTGGACAGCAGAGCAAGTGGATGGACACCCAGGGCACCAGGTCATCATTTCCCCCACTACGGAGAGACATATTTCCATTGATATTGCAGTAACGATTTCTGAGGTGCATATGTACTTTTTATGTACATATGAATTAGCACTTGGCAGTTTTATATAAAACTGTCCTTCCCTCTTTTTTGGCAATTTATAAACGGCTGTCCTATCGGAGTGTAAGCAATCTTCTCTCCTGCCTCCTCTAAGCCACCCCCTGTATCTTCAGGATTTTTGGCTAGGATATCTAGAATTCCCCAACCTGGCTCCCTCCAGATGTTTTGGATTGCAACCTCCACCATTGCCAGCCACCATGGCAATGCTGGCTGGGGATTGGGGGTATTGTGCCACAACACATCTGGGGAGTACCAGGTTGGGGAACACTGTTCTAGAGATTCTCAGTGTATTCAGCACATGAGCAACCAACACTGGAGTGCCCGGAATAACCTATCCTCCCTTACCGGGCATATCTTCCACTGACAGCAAAATGTCCTGCTGCTGCTGGTAACATATGATTATCTTAGGACCCACAGAGCTCTTTTCCTCTGCCATTATCTCTTAATGTGTCCAGAAACCCTGTCTTTACCACATCTGTAATTTTCCTGATTTCTTCCATTTTCAGCTCTCAAATAGCCAGAACCTTTTACCATCAGGCTTTGGTGGTGTGTGGTGTCCTTGGCTTATGCTAAGAGAGGATGAGTTCATTTTGGTGGAGTTGTGTTTTAGCTGGTGTGTGTGTGTGTCTGTTAAAATTGGCTCCTAACTATCACATATGCATCACTGGCAGTGTTTGCTGGTTGAAGTTACATCCCAGCTGTGATGGAACTCAACAAATACGATAAAAGAGAAGAGACACAGCAAGAAGAGGAGGCCCTTTTTGTTCCTGGTTTCCAATCTTGCTTTCTGGGCACAAATCAAGATGTTGCTTTTGACATAAACAAAGATAATGCCTGTGGATCTCTGATTTCCATGTATTTATTCAGGGTCTCAGGGTGACAGTCTGCTTGTCTGTGGAGTTTGAACAGAGCCTTTTTCTTCATGTTTCATTACCTTTTCAGTTGCTTCCAAATTCCACTAAAAGCAGAAAATATCCAGTTTTCTTAAGCCACGGTAGTGTTTAGAAGTAGCTGATATATATTCCGCAGTGCTTTCTTCAGCTCAGCAGCTATGAAATGTATAGTGTGTTTTTGGTGTCACAGCACTCTCCATGTCTTTATCATGATGGTAAGTTTAAAATTCTGTTTTTAGGCTAAATCCATTGAAACCACATTCCCCCAACACATACACACACACACAGCAAGTCCTATTTAAAATGGGTATTTCCCCTCACCCCCAGTTCACATGATCGAACTGATTTTTATAAAACTTTCAGCACACATGCCCCATAATGCACCATGAGTTCCAAAGAAACATACACACAAGAGGCTGTGATGATAAGGAAGGTCTTAACTAAATGTTATAGTGAAATGTACTTAACAAATATTCACAGTACTTGTTTGAGAATAAGGAAATTTATTTCATGAAGGGGGCAGCCAGCCCTGTGTCTTTCCTCAGTGGAACAAGATGCAGGACAGATGAGCTGGTTCCTGGCCCATGTATCAAGAAGATCCCCTAATAACCTCAAGGGATGTCTCCTCCTATGTCCTTCATCCCGCAGAGCTGAAAAGAGAAATGCATAAGAATGGACAACAGGGATCCCCCATCCTGCACCCCATTGTTCTTTCTATGCTCCAAGTCAGAATAAGAATTGCTCACAGTTCTTCATGGCCCTGAAATTCGCTTGTCTTCCTGGACACCCATGTATGATGGAGATCCTACCTTGTTTGGCCTGGACTCTAAGAGGAAAGAAAGAAAATAACAGGATGATTTTACTGTAACATTTCAGTACCCTGTGGATATTTCAACTTTCTACGGATGTTGTGCTGTGGTTGAGGTGTGTTGCCTATCTCAAGCACAAACCAGAACTTCAAGGAAGGAAGAAAAGAAGTCCATTGTTCCCTTTGCTACCCAATTTACTACATCTCACCACCATTCATTTCCCCCTTTAATGGCCTCTTCTTACCACTGTTCATTCCTTTAAATCGCCCTTAGTTTTTCCAAGGTTTTCTGCTCCAGCAGCCATGGGGAAGGGAAGAAACCAGCTGTAGCTTGCCTAGCTATAGAAATGCAGTGGTATTTCCCAAAATGCTAACACAAATACTCAAAGGATTGTTGCAGTTACTAGAAACCAAAGAAAATGATGCTGGTGTACAGCTAACAG